CCTGCCCTCCTGCCCGCCTGCCCGCCTGCCCTCCTGCCCGCCTGCCCTGCTACCGTATGCCGCTGATTGTTTGGGAACAACTTCATTGCCAGACTCACTACTCATATTACATTACGTTTTCTGTTTTTAATTTGTTACAATTGTTTGCAGTAATTAATTAATTAATAGAAATGTTGCGCAAACGAACGTGTTTTTTGTAAAATATAAATAAGTTATAATAATTCTGTGTTACTAAATTCATGGATGGATAGACTGAGCGGTAAAACGAATGTCCTAATATGTAATTTTATTTGTATATTTCTGGTTACACAGATATAAGACGTTTCTTCTCAATCGTATATTAAATGACTCTCCCTATGGGAAGGCGGCGCGGCGCGGCGCATATCCGCGTGTTTGCATATAACAAACAAACAAATATAAAGTTTGATTGGAGTTGCGCGCAAATTAAATTTACTCACGCAACGTTGACGCGCTGCGCCGCTTGCCTTCCTTACCTTATTTGTTTTATTTATTTTTAATTTATTAAGCAATGCATTCAATATCGATATTTTCACATAAATAAATAGAACCAACTAGCTAAAACTAAAATAAATGGTCCATTGTTCCACTTACGTAAGGTCGGCGCACTAGATTTCCGTCCTCCGTATGTATCCATCTACCGTTGTATCCGTTAATAATGTAAGAATCTATAACATTACTAGCTGTCGCCCGCAACTCCGTCCGCGCGGGATTAAAAATAAATGTTGGCCGATTCTCAGACCTACTCAATATGCTCACAAAATTTCATGAGAATCGGTCAAGCTGTTTCGGAGGAGTATGGGAACGAAAATTGTGACACGAGAATTTTATAAATAAGAAGATAAACATGTAAGTATTTAATTTGTTGATTATTATTTTTTTAATAAAATGCTTTGAATGAAGGGAAATTGTACAATTGTGAGCGCTAAAATGGCGCTGCTGCGGTTGCTGTCGTGGTAAATTAAAGAGCATTAAACGGACTGTTTTATACGAAATACATTGTGCAATTTAGATGATAATAATGACCCATCAGAACGTTAATGATGCCGTTATTTTTAGTTTTGACTTTTAAGTATTTAAATGTTTTATATTTTAGTTCAACAGTGGTAGAGCCCGCTTTAACATCTTCGCACGAATTGTCCCGGCTCGCCCGGTGAAATACCACGACCACACAGAAGACACGCGTCAAGTGGAAACAATTCCGCATTTCGTGTAATGAGTGTGCGTCCCGAAGGCCTAATTTAGTCCTCTTTCCCTTCCCCCCCCCCCCCTTTTCCTTATAAGGAAAGGTTGGGAAGTGGAAGTGGACTTTCCGGATGAGAGGATGCATGGGAAGGAAAAATATTTTCTTTCTGTGCATCCTCTCCTCCGTCGATGAAAGGTAGGCAACGCATATGCAATTGCGTATGTCTATGGGCAACGGTCACTTCGCTATTTTAGCGATTTCAGGTGGCCGCTCGCTCTTTTGCCACCTTATGATATATAAAAAAATAGTGCGTTTAGCAGTAATAAGAAACTCAAAAATCTGATCGCGTTCAGCTTGTATATTTGTATTTAAATAAAGACGGAATAAAATAAAGTTAAATCGTTTAAGTACTTTATATATTACATCAAATTACAGTTTTCATCTCACAGCCGTCGCCTTCGCACTGCAAAAAAAGGAATACCTAAGTACTTATTAATTTTCAAACATTTAAAATAAAAATAAATATACGAATGTCATTTAAAGTTTGACAAAAATATAACATTTGAAGTAATCAAGTAGTTTTGCAACATTTTATTGCTGGTATTGTAAATACTTACCTTAGGTGTACATCCTACGCCACCGCACTAAAAAATAATAAAAATCAGTTTTATTTCAGCAAATATTAAATAAGTTTATTAATAATTAGGAGAAAAAAAAATTGAAAAGAGAAAAAATTATATGTAACTTAGTAACAATTATTTTCTAAGTTCGTTAGGTATTATTAAATAATAAAGTATTGTACTAATAATTGAATAATAAACAGTGTAAAGAAAAATGTAGAGAAATGATCTAGATATATAACTGGTTAGCTTACAGTCGCCACGCACTTCTTGCCGGTGCACTGCAAAAAGAAAACACATTTTCATAATTAACTAACTATTCTATTTTACTGCAGATTGCGTAAAAAAATCAAAAAAATAGATATTGTTGAACTTCATTTAAGTCAGGTTTCTAAAATGCGTTTTTTTTTTACTGTTGTTAAACAACAAACGTGAAAAATTAAGTTCTCTTGAAATTGGAACATTTGCATTACATCAAAATGAATATTAACATACTTGAGAAAGACAGGAAGCTCCATTGCACTGTAAATAATGACGTCATCACTAGTTATTGAATACACTCTACCTGGACAAGCGAGAGTTCACGCGGCAGAGAAATTTTGCCCTCTTTTATAAGTTTCTCGCTTATCCTGGTTCGACTGTATATTTAAATAACAAGAATAAAATAAATACTATACCATAGTGAAACAGGAAGGTGCTTCACACTGCAATGTTACAACAATACTACAATCATATCATCGTGATATATATATATATATATAAAACTGTTAGAACGTGCCTATGTAGTTATTTTACTGAAAAAAATGTCACTTGTACGATGAAAGATTTTAAGAGAAATGAAATGATTTAGTCAGTTTTAAATAACTGATTATAAATTGCAATTTTCTCAACTTTACATTTGAGCTAAGTTTTGAATAGCTCTTATAAATTCATTAATTTATTTACAATTTGGAAACAATTTACAAAAACATGACGTACTTTTGCCGAACAACCATACGATGCGCACTGAAACAAACAAATGAATAAATAACTATTACACAATAGAACATAAGACCAGGTTCCACTAAACTCTACAGCTGTTGTATGACCAGATCACAATGTTGCCATTTTTCCAAATAAAACAATATTCTTATTACCGTAGCTTCACATCTTGTTTCAGAATATCTCTGAAAAACATATGTTATTATGAATTATTTACGATATTCTTCACTTTTATTTTATAATTTGTGAAATAAATGATAATCGTCTAACCCCTGCAGTACAGTTGCCGCCGGTGCACTGAAAACAATAAAAATTACTTAATTGTTAAACAGTGTCTTATGTATTCTAGAAATAACTAACAAAAATCTATCAATTTAAGACCACATAGGTTAAAAAACAATTAACTCTGCGCAGAGTCGCAGGCGACAGTTAGTATGAAATATTTAGCTTACCACATTATATTGTAAGCCATTTTATATATTCTGTAATTCCTTAACGTAAAACGTTATTTAGTCTATGCTATTAGTCAATAACACTTTTGTTTATTTAATATAACAACATTAATCATTTGTATTACGATCCAAAAGATTATTTAAATATTTGATTCTCAAATATAAAATAGAATTATTCAATTTATCATGTTAATTATCTGACTGTATTTCGTTATCGTAAATTAAAAGTATTGTAATTGCTCGTATGAATGACGGCCAGGTTTTTTCTGACATTCGGGGAATGAAAATGACAATGTAACAGCGGTGTTTTTGAAAAAGTTGTTGTTTACAATTCTAAAGGAAATATATGAGTTAAAGAAGACTATGTTTTATTTGAAAAAGTATTCTCCGGCTGTGACTCCCACAATATTCTTAAGTCAATTGGATATTGTTTTTTAGTCGCATGAAGATACAAAGATGACATACTGACCCATGCTTTGCAGCCAATTGTTAGTGCAGCCTGAAAACATTACAAATTGTTACTAAACTGTTTTATTACACTTTTAAAACATACACAGTTGCTCTTTCCCTGATATGTCGTATTATAATATGCGTATAGAAAAGTTACCTGGTAGCAAACGACATAGGAAACGACGAAGCCGAGAGCTGACAAACGCATTCTGTCCGCTGATTGATAATTACATGCATTCACTGCGTTAAATTACATTCTTATATCTCTGTAGATATTAACTGACAGTTAATTGTATTGATAAGATGTTATGTCACTACAAGTGAAAAAGATTACTTTTTTTTATGAGAAACGGAAGGTTTAATCCAATTTCGATAACATCTGAAATGAGTTGTGACGAACAAATATTTTGCCTCGTCGTAGAGTTCATCATATTTGGAAATATGTACACGAACAAATTGTTATTTTATTCTTAATTCATAAAGTTCTTTTTCATCTATTTCTACGTATCTTTTGAATTCGTTTCAATATTTCTCAGTTTGTATAGCGATTCCAATATTACTTTGAATGTTTGTGACGTTTAAACATCGAACGTATTGCTTATTGAGTTTAATGAAATGCTTTTAAAAGGTTTAAGTATTTAAACAGTAATAAATGTTTTTCTTAACGAAAATGTAATAAATGTCGCATCTAACGTCAATATCGCTTCATAAATACGTCGATAAGAAACAAAAACGATCAAATAGAGTATTGAAATAACTTTTGATTCAGATAAAAGAAGATGGAAATTAGGATAAAAACGAGATAGATTCCTCCGGCACAGCGCATAATATGACAGAAGAAATATAAAATACTCAGAGTCATGTAAGCGTATTCTGTTTTATCAGACACATTGTTCATCCGATTACCGGCAGACGTGGATGTTACTGATGTAGAGCAAACGAATGTGTAATGAAGTCGAGTACACTGATTGTGACGCGAGCTTGTTTGTCACAGGCGAACGAGATACATACTTCTTATGGTTGATATAATTTACAGTCAGAAAAATCACTAGCTCATTATTTACTTAGGGTACAGGAAGATCGTGATGATATTATTTAATGATTGCGAAGTTAAACCAAAACACAGTTGACCATATATAAAATATCGCGAGGTTTAATTATCGTAATAGTTATATTTTTCCATTATTTAATGAAAGAAATAAAATTGAATGAACAAAATAATCAAATAGCAAACAAAGTATGACGTATTATACATTCATTAAGCTCCAGGGGGTCGTGAAATCAACGCAAATGAGTCCCCGCGCTACGTCTCACGTCTTGGGAGCACGCAGCGCGGGTTTTTACATCAAATCCGCGAAATTACCAAGCCCCCCCGCCCCACCAACCCTACCACGTTGTTGAATATTCAATAAATTGCCTCAACTTAATTTTAACTAGAGGTAAAACATTTGACAGACGTCACTCCGTAAACTTATTCGTAGTGAATAAACCTTTTTGATTCTTATGAAAAGTAATTTTAATATCTAGATCTAAACATGGATTGGGTCAAAGTAAGTGAGACGGAAATTTGTACAAATTACATACATTTGAACTGCTAACATAAGTAACACTGACGCTTTCGTGGTATTAAAAATTGTTGATTTTCAAAATCTATATACCTGAGTGCAAAGAATTACGTTCCACGACATTTTTAATTTAATTTCACGTAATATTTTTGAAAACTGTTACACAAAATGGAAAGGCGTCTTCAAACCACTGAACCGTTAAAAATTCAAAAGCTTATGTCGCACGCCACGACGTGCTGCGTGAAGAAATGCACTCGCATTCTGCACAAAGTATAAATTTTTTTTTTCATAGTTTTTTATTTTTTATTTTTGCTAAAGCACTAAAATCTGGTTGAGATGGAGTATTTATTGTAAACCACTGCTCAATATGTCGCGGCATCACCGTGTTATGTCGTTATAATTCAAAAATATACAAATTAGTAGCGTTATAATGATTTATATAATAAGTTAAGTTAATCCGTCAAAATAATGACTCAAGTTGAAATAGATAATTGTAAGCACTGTACTAATGTAGCACACAAGTTGTAAATCTAATTGTAAGTTCCTTACGAACCGGCAACGTGACGTCAGCTCCCGCTGCCTCGGCGCTGATTAGGACAATAGCGCCACGTAACACGACGGAGCAAGTCGACAACTTTTAATTAACACATCGCACAAAGATAGCTGCCGCGAAAGTGATGTGTGTATTTGATTTTAATATTAAAATTGTCTACTGTCAACATCATCAGAGTCCTGAGCTTGATCAATGAATACTTCGAAACTAGCAAAACGATCTCGATGAAATTGCAACAATACAGGAAAAAAATAACTTAACAAAATATAAATTTAGTAATTTAGAAAAATCTATTTTAAGAATACTATAAAATAAAACATGAAAAGTAAAGTTTGAAGATACATTGTGATGAAACTTCAATCTCAATAAATTTTCAACAAAAACTTCTCCTCGACCAGCATTTTTCAGACTCTCCAATAAATTGTAAGTTCACTCCGGTGTGAAATGTACTTTTGGGTTCTCTTTTTGATTGAATCTTATTATTCAAGTGGAAAAATGACAGTAAATTTGATTATAATGTGACAGAAGGACGATCCCGAAAAAAGGAGCTTATTTTCCTTCCCAGAATGAAATTTTTCTTGACCCTGAAATATTTTTATGTAATACTGAAACATCATTTTCTAATTAATTTGTACATTTCTGCACAAATTATTTGCCAAATTAGAAAACAATAACGATACGATACAATGAAAACTCTACAGGCAATAGAAGCAATTATTGCATGATTTTTGTTTTGTTAAATAATAATTTCGTTGTATTCTGAACAAAGATAATTGGTATTAATCAAATTAATAGAACAAGAAGTGTACAGTCAGTGTCATATAGATCGTCACAGACAAGATATGCAAATATATAGGTACACCAAAAGTATTCAATTATATCGGTACAACAAAAGTCCTCAAAATAATAGATACATTCACCCTGCTCAAATACATCGGTACATACACAGCGTCAAATATATGAGTACATGCAAGATGCTCATAAATATCGTAGCAGCCACAGCGTCATAAGTAACGAAGCAGTCAAGGTGCGCAAAAATATCGGTACATTTGACAAAATTGAACTCTATCTCTATATACTTGTGATACAATTTGGAATAAACTACTTCTGTTACATTCATTTGACACTTTGCATCAAACCATTTTTCAAAATTTACTAAAAGTGTTCGATGCGGATGACAGATATTAGGTAGATAAAATCAACATCAAATTTAAGTTTGTCATCATATATGCTAGTTTGGTCTCGTGGCCTTACCGTTCGCCGCCGTTGGTACGTAAGGTCGGCGGTTCAAATCCCAAGCCACTATTTTTTTTTTATATTTAAACTTGTTAATTTTAATATCGAAGCACATGTAATTAAATTCTATCGCCGTAGTTATTAGGTACTTTTTGATATTGCCTTGGATTAATGAGTTTGACCGTTAAAGTACTTTTCTATATCAAACAAAAATGAAGGAGATA